AGTACTGACATCTGGAACAGCAACTATTTCTTTAAGACCTCACAGGCAATAAGAGATACATACACAATTAATTCTATGTATGAAAATCCAGCAATCTTGATGAAATAGCTGATTGCTTAAAAGATACTGACCTTCAAATCTCACGTAAGAAGAAACAGTCCTGTATCTATTAGGAAAAACTAAATTCATTGTTTGAAGAAAATCCCACAAGAAAAACCTAGCTTCATGTTCAGCGAGAGACCCTGTGTCAAGGAAATAAGGTACAAAGTCATGGACAAGAAAACCCTTTCCTGGTCTCTGCACACACATACGTGCACACAATCACAAACATACCACATAAACCCACACAAAATCATCATATTAACAAGCTAAAGGGAAAATTAAACGGTATCAGTTGATGCCAAAAAAAAAAAGATGCATGGCATGACTCAGTATCTCCTCATTATAAAGTAAAGAAAATCAAATTAAAAAAAAAAAAAACCTCTCGGTAAAGTGAGAAACTCTGTGACGTGACATGAATGTACTGTGCCATACACACATTTTACACGCACACAGTAATAGTGAACACGAGTAACAAGAAGTATTATCCAGAAAGAAAAGAACGGATGGGTTGTGCTTCATCAAAACTTTTTTACAAAGTCCTGTTGAGAAACGTCACGAGAGAATGTAAAGATTAAATGCAGTTTGAGACATGCTGAAAACACACTTGACAAAGAGCTAGAGTTCCTGGTAAGTTTTCAGAGCTCAGCAGTGAGGCGAACATTTAAAATAATCATTTTAGCCAAGCATGGGGGTGCATGCCTGCCCTCCGCACTCGAGAGGCAGACTGCTCAGGAGTTAAGGTCATCCTCAGCTATGTACGATAATAATTTCCAAAATTCAGTTAGAAAATACAAATTAACATAGGATTTTATTATTATTATTATTATTATTTAGTGTGTATGTGTGTGTTGTGTGTGTGATGTGTTGTGTGTGTGGATGGTGTGGCGTGTGTGCTGTGTATGTAGTATGTGTGTGGGTGTGTATAAATGCGTGTCATGGCCTACAAGAGGAGGTCAGAGAAAAACTTTGGGGAGTTGGCCGTCTCCTCCCATATTGTTTGAGGGTCCCTTATTTCTCCTGTACTGCAGACAAGGCTACCCGACCCTTGAGCATTCAGATGATTCTCTTGTCTCTGCTTCCCATCTTGCTAAAGGAAGGCTGGGTTAAAATGCATCCTGCATCTTTAAAAAAAAATGTATGCTCTAAAAAAATCAAACTCAGTTCAACAGGCTTGCATTACGAACGCTTTCATGTGCTGAGCCATCTCACAGACCAAAGCAAAAGATTAATTTAAAAATAGTCTTCTTGGAGAAGTTTATTGTGTTTCCAATGTATTCTGATAATATTCACCCCTATCTCTCCCACTAACTCCTCTCAGAATCACCCACTCTCTCCCCCAGCCAATTTTGTGTTTGTTTGTTTGTTTGTTTGTTTGTTTGTTTAACAACTCACTGAAACCAATCTGCCTTCCACATATTCTCATGTACTGGACAGTGGAACATCTTTCAGGAGCCACACTCTTAAATAAAACTGATTTTCCCTCCCCCCAAAGCAATGAACCGTTAGTAGCTCCTTGTTCCTTATGAATTTCCCATTCCTTCCCACTAAAGGAAATGCTGAAATGCTGACTGGCTTAGATAGTAACCAGAGCTGCTGGAAGTTTATGGGTGCCACTATTCTGTCATTTTCAGAAGATGCTTTCACTCTGATCCTCTCCAACCCCTAGTTCTTATCATCTTTCTGTCCCTCTTCCATGATGGTCCCTGTCCTAGTCACTGTTCTGTTGCTGTGAAGAGACAGCATGACCAAGACAACTCTTCTAAAACAATGCATGTAATTGGAGGCTTGTTTACCGTTTCAGAAGTTAGTCCATCATGATGGCAGAGAGCATGGTACTGGAGAAGCAGCTGAAAACCCTGTCCTGACCTTTATTTAGGCAGGTAGGCAGGCAGAGACAGAGAGAGACTGGCATGGGCTTTTAAAGCCTCAAAGCCCACACCCAGTAACACACTTTCTCCACCCATGCTACTCAGAATGCTGCTGCCTGGCGACAAGAATTCAAATATATAAGCTTATGGAGGCCATCCTTAAATCAAACAACCACAATCTACTCCCTAGCCCCCACAGGCTTATGGCCATATCATAATGCAAAGTGCATTTAGTCCAAATTCAAAAGGCCCAATAGTCTTTTACAGCCCCAACATGGTGTCAAAGTCCTATGTCTCTTCTGTGACGCATGACAATGCTTAACTATAACTATAGAATCAAAATCAAAGAGCAAATTAAACACTTCCAACATATAATGGTACGTAATGTACATTACCAATCTAAAATTGAGGAAAGGGAGCATAGTGAGGAAACACCAGACCAAAGCAAAACCAAAGCCCAGCAAAGCAAGCTATAATCTCTGCATCGGCCTGTCCGATCTCAACGCACTCTTTAGATCTCCAGCTCATTTTAGCTTTTTGACTGCAACATACTTCTCTCTTTGGGGATGGTTCTACAACTGGTTTGCTACCTTCCTTGGCAGGTAGCAACTGCTCTGACATCACTAACGTCTTGGGGTCTCAAACACAATCCAGGCTTCATCTTCACAGCTTCATAGAATGGCCTCTCTGGGCCTCTGTGTAGGGACACCCTGATGAATGCCTGGCCTTGGCGTTTTTCCTGGCCGCAGGGGGAGATTTCGCCACCTCTTCTTGTATCTTCGACTTTAAAGCCAGAACCTTGCAGCTGAAGCTGCCAAGTTCTGCTGCTTGGTGGGCTAGAACCCAGGCCCCTCCTTCAGTTAGTTTGCATCAGCTTTCTGTTGTTGATGGTCTTCTTCACTGCTGAAGCTTTCCTTTACTTCCTTTGCACAAGCTGGAAGCTTAGCTGAATGGGTTCGAGTCCTGAGCTTATGAGTCCCTTTATCCCCACTCAGCATTAGGTTTTGTCTTTAACTTTTTATCTTCTTGAGCCCTAGGACTTGGCTCCAACCTCACCTTTCCTGGTTTTCTTTTCTCCTTACACTGCACATTGCTAAAGGATGCTCTTTCCTGCTATAGACACACACCCTCATCCATGTTCATAGCTTCTTTATGCATAATAGCTAGGACATGGAAACAGCCTAGATAGCCACCAGCTAATGAATGGATAATGGAAGCATGGTGTAATTGGATATGTGGTAGATCTATTTCTCGCTATTTAAGGAACCTCCACATTGATTTCCGTAGTGACTGTACCATTTTATATTCCTACCAGCAGTGAACGAGGCTTTCCTGTTGGCCACATTGTTATCAGCTTCTATCATCTTACTCTTAGCTGTTTGTATTTCTTCTTCTGAGAACTCTCTGTTCAGTTCCATTGCCCTCTTACTTGTTTTGTTTTGTTTCAGTGTGTGTGTGTGTGTGTGTGTACCAGAAAGACTTTTAGAGAGCAAATAAGCCATGGTAAGGTGGTTGGTTGCAGGAGCCACAGTGGCACTAAGAGTTCACACCACAGTATCACTGCTGTCAGGGTTGGCAGCATTCTTCCGTGTTGCTGCTAATTTGGCAGCAATTTGGAAGCCACTTTAAACCTAACCTTATCATATGGGCTAGCATTTCCACTTCTGGATATTTGTTCTTTAGAAATTCAAACCTCCGTCCACACAAAACTATACACAAACATAAATAATAGCCTTGTTCATCGTTACCAAGTCAACCCACATGCCATGAGAAAGGATAAACAAACTGTGACACCATAATTTGAGGTTTGTGATGTTCTACTCCAAGCTGGGATCATAGGTGTCTCTCCCATGCTTAGCTTAGTTTTATCAGTTTAAATGTTAACTACAATTTTATAGATGCTTAAATCTTGCTTTTATAAAACTCTGTCAGCTGAGCGCACACGCAATAGTAACTAAGCCTCCAGACAGAACACCCTTATGAGTAATGCCATCTGGTCCACAGTAAGAACTACCCTGGCACACAACAGGAATGAGTCCTCAAAGGCACTGCGGGGTGACAGAGGCAGTTCCAACAGGTTACAAACCTTACGATGTTGTTTACATGGCAATTTAGAAAAAAAAAAAGGCGATGAGAACGAAGCACAGGCCAGTTACTGTCAGGGGTGATGGCTTGAGAGTTTTGGGAGTAATGAACCTATGTTGTGACTGGGGCTCACACAAATCCACACGTGGCCAAAGCCCATGGGACTGTGTCCAGAAAGATGCAAGCAACTGAGTCTAAGTATAGTTGATAATCCAAAGGACACCCGCAACACTCAGTTCTCTTCTACCGTGTGTGTCCCACGGATCAAACTCGGGTTGGCGGGTGCTTTCGCCTGCTGAGCCATCTCACCAGCCCTTTTTCTTCTCCTTAAAAGAGTTATCTATTTTTAAGTCTTCACGTAAATATATAACTACATGTTGCATGTATTTCCCTGTGCTTCCGCCTTCCCTTTCTTCCCGCCCATTAGTTTCCCAGACAATGACTTCTAATTCCAATGCAAACACATACATACACACACACACAGAGTTTTACAGACAGACATAATGGTTCTAAAAAGACCCCCAAAGCCAAAATAAAATATTTAGTTCATATCTGTGACACAAACAAATTGAGCTATACTGCCCATTTTGTAGAGTTTACAGTCTCCTGAGGGGGGAGGGGCAGAAAATACCAGTTTTGCAGTATTTAGACAGTAATCTTACATTTTATTTTAGTATTTATTTATTTATTTGAGACAAAACCTTGCTATACAGACCACCTTGGCCCTTGACTTCCTGTCGAGTGGTGACAACTACACAGAAGGAAGAGAGGTGTGGGATTTGAGCTCTGGTTCTACCGCCATTTATTGAAACCAGTTACCCAACACTTATGATTTCATTTGTCTTATGATTAAGATATGGTGGGTCAGCTGGGTGTGCTGGCTCACAGCTACCATACACACTGGAGAATAAACTTTCTCACCTGGGAAACACTCCTATTTCTTAGGTATATTAAGGAAACAAACATCAAAAATGACCCAAATCAGCTCAACAATCTTATCAAGAAAAACTCTGATGTGGTGACATGGACCCCGAGACCTGGAGCTACCCTTGACCTGGGCAGGATGCTGAAGGACCCAACGGACAGGTTTGGATTAAATATTTATGGGGGATAAAAACACCTTAAATAGTTTTTTAAAAACAAGTATTATGATAAAGAGCTTGCCTCCTGATTCTCAACAGTCCCTGCTATAATGTTAAGCTTTGTCTGGTAACATGCTAGGCTGTTTCTCTAATAAGATCACCATCTCACTTTTTAAAATAAAGATCTTAGAACCAGGTAGGCTGCCACACACCTGTAGGAGGTGCCACACACCTCCTAGCACTTAGGAGGCTGAGGCAGGAGGATCAGGTCAGACTGAGCTATTTGAAACCCCCCAACATAAGAAAAATGTCTTTCTATTCACATAAAATAGACTAGTAATGATCATTCCACTCAGTCAGCTTTCCCAAGCATTTCACCCTGTGTAATGGCTCACATGCTTTCATCACGGAAGAGCCTTATGAGAGAGTAGAGGAGGGGAATGGAAAGATGGCTCAGTAGTTAAACACACTTGCTGCTACCACAGAGGACCAGAGTTCAGTTGCCAGCACCCATGTTGGGTGGCTCGGAAAGTTAGTTCTCACCTATAAAATTAGCAGCGTTTTCTGAAATATCAAACAGGGAAATGCAATTCCCGAAGAGCTAACATTGACTGAGGAGGCCTATAGTTCCGTAAGTACACACCCTGAGCCACGTAGTCATAAATTTCCCACCCGCGTGTAGAAATGCACACATTGTAGGAGTGAACAGTAGGGCAGCTGGTGTTACGCCCTTTGTCGACTTCCTAGATATGACCATAACCTGGTGAGCTCTCCTTCACAGGCTTTTCACAGTCCAGCACTCAGTTCAGTATTCCCCACCATACTCTCATCTCCACTGCTCACTCGAGGTTTGTCCCCTGCCTGAAGTTCCCTGGTTTGTCCTGTGCCCCTTCCCTCCCAATCCTTCCTCCATCAAGCTAAGGTCATTGGTCATAATCAGTATTTTCACTAAAAAGAGAAATTCGCGGGTAGAAATAAAAACCAAGTATATTGCACATAGTAAGGGTTTTATTACCGGAATAACTTTGCAATCTGGTGGGAATGGTTCTTAGCTGGGAGTGATGGCTCATATCCGTAATCCCCGCACTTGAGGAGCCAGGAGGATTACCAGGAGTCCCAAGCCAGACCAGTTTTGTTTCAGGATTATAAAGTGAGGCCTTGCTCCCCCCAACTCACCCCACATTGAAGCAGTTCTAACAGCAATTACAGGCAAAATATTGGAAAGCCCTCTAATTGTTGCTGACAAGCCAATCTTTCTAAATTGTGAAGTTAAAATTGCTTAAAATTCTTTGAGAGCACCCAAGTGCTCCAGTATGGAAGAGGTTGGATGTCCAGCCGGAGAGCAAAGGTGGTTCTTGGTTACTTCAGTTATTACTCATGTTTCAGGAGTTGTTGGCATCTTCCTAAGCCCCCAGGATTACGCTTGTGCAGGCCTCTCAATGTGTCCTACAGCATGCAGGGGTAGGATTGCATTTGCAGAGTCACTGTCCTTGATAAATACAGACCCTAGGCTCCCCTCAGTGACAGGCAAGATACAACAGGTCTGAGACAGAGCCCCTGCAAAGCATTCTGGGAAACAAGAATCACTACAGTTGCATCTCAGTGCTAACATATAATATAGACACGATGCCTAAATGCCTTGTGAAGGAAGAAGGGATAGTGTATCAAGGAGTGTGGTCACAGAGGCTCGATCTGAAATATTCAGCATTTAGCCAGGTCTTAGGGATGAGAAGATGGTTACAAGTACAAGAGAGAAAGGAAGAGAAGGAAAAAGAGTCTGTTTTTGTTTTGTTTTTGTTTCTGTTTTTGTTTCTGGCAGAGGCAATGGCCTAGCTGGACAAGAACAGGGCATAGACTAAAGATAAAGATGAAGGGAGTACATGAATGCCGTTGATTCACAAATGATTCACTGAGACCTTGATACTGGCTGCCAGAAGCACAGAGGATGCAGACAGAAAAAAGCCCAGCTCCTCAGGGAGCCCTCCCAGCCCTGAGTTCAGAGAGGATGCGTGAAGGCAGAAGGAAAGGAAGAGATGGGAATGCCACAGGGAGGCCAGGGTCAGCATGGCCTCCTAGACCAGGGCAATGAACCTGTCCTGCAAATGGGGGGAGCCACAGAAAACAACAAAGCAAAGAACGATCATTCTTGTGCTCTGTAGAGTAGAATACACTAGAGAGGAAGTGATAATTAGGCCTCTGCCGTCAGGAGGCCAGGGGGAAAGGCTATGGCTTCTCACTGGAAGAAATCATGAGACTTCATACTGCCACTGGGCGAGGAGCTATAAGAGACTGGAGATGTATCTTAGAAGTGATGTGCTCTGGTGCCTCCGGAGCCTTGGGGACATGACAAATTCAAAGAGAAGCTTTGGGAAGACAGGGATCTACGGTTGCCTCCAAACATTTGACATTGGTGTTTGCCTCCTTAGATTCTTATTTTTTTTTCCTTGTTCCATCCACATCCTGTGACTTTCTCCAGATCCAAAAGCCCGTTTTCCATGTACAGATTTATCTCCCCAGGATGAACGTGGCTTTAGGACTGCCTGTGCTACTAACTGCATTTAAAGATAAAATCGTGCATCTGCCTGCAAGCCGGAGTTTGAGTAACACACAGAACACAGTACATCTGAGGCACAAATCCCCATACAGTAAAGTCATTTACTCAAGTATTTACTGGGCACAACATGGCCTGACCTCTCGTGGAGATATGAACAAACATTTGTTCAACCCGGAAGGACACCATTAACAGACCAAAACGCCAGTTCCACACAAGTGGACCTTGGTGAACCAGTGAGGTCATGTACAGGAGCATGGCTGGCTCAAAGGATTATAGAAAATCCCAACCCGGTAGAGTTCCATTCATGAAAGCTGCCTTCCACTCCCCAGATGTTGTCAATGGTTTATATAGTCTTGTTTAACCTTTGGGTTTTTCTTTCGCTTGCTGAGGCCTGGCAGCCTCCACACCCAGCAGGAATGGCTGCTTTCGCCAAATGCCTGTCCTAATTGGGGCACAGAGGCGTCTGTGTGCCCCTACCCATAAAGTCAGCCTAGTGGATCCCAGTCAGCATTCTCCCATTACTTATTTATTTGGAGCAAAAGGGTCCCATTTGGGGATCTTGCTCCCTCTGTATGTCCTGTCATACATAAGATTAGTCAATGAAATCTGACTTGGGAGCCTTGCCCATGAAATAGTGTATGAGAAACAGTGTAGCTTAGGCTGGGCAAGGCCCCTGGGAATCATTTCCACATCTCAAAACTGCTCCTCTGGCAGAGTTTTCCTCAAAGCATTCATTTTGCCTTCTTTTTTTTTTTTTTTCCCTGCCTCCTTCTCTGATCCTCCTCATATTTGTGTCTTTAAGCAAAGGCATTGTGGAGCCTCCAGAAGGGACAAAAATTTACAAGGATTCTTGGGACTTTGGCCCGTACCTGCGGACCTTGAATTCTGCTGTCGGAGATGAGATCTTCCTGCACTCCTCCTGGATAAAAGAGTACTTCACTTGGGCTGGATTTAAGGATTACAACCTGGTGGTGAGGGTATGCTGAGAAGTAGCCTCTGCCTCTGCTCTCTTGCAATTTGGAGATCTTTGCAGCCCCCCTTAATTTCCAGTTTGTTTTCTAATAAGCACTTGGGAAGCCCTACGAACTGTCCAGCAGAGGACAGACGAACCGTGTGTTGAATAATTCTCCTTTGAGGCTGAAGCACCCATTAAGCACAGCTCAGTTTGGCTTTTGCAGTACTTTTTTTCCCCCTCTCTTATCGCCATGAATTAAAAAAAATTAAATCATCATATAAAATAATATATTTCCTTCCAACATTCTCATCTATTCTTTCTGGAACCCTGTCTCTGTACCCTTCTGCTATTTCCCTTTCATGTCTGCTTTATTACCCCCTCTGCCCAGCTTCCTTGAGGTTGTGGTATTTTTTCATTGTCTGGCATATCGGGAATGCCTAACTGGGAGGCTAGAGCGTGGGGTCCACGCAGAGGGCTAGCACCCTGGAGCAGTGAGAAGTTTAATTGCTCTCCGCAACTGTTCTGAAGACCAGATGGCACACAGCAGAGGGCAAGCATGGAGGCTGAACAGGAGCTAGTACCAGCACACAATGTATAGAGCCACAAACCAGAGGCTCAGGTTATACGCTGCTCACACCCGCCCAAGGTGTGCCAAACGCAGAGCAGCAGAGTGGACGCCTTCCCTTGCGGGAGACCCTGGCATCGATTCTCAAGACCACAACAATCCAACCTAGCAGACAGGGTGTGCAAGAGAAAGAAGAGACCGGGGGTGGACCAGCCGTCAGGGCCGTGGATGACCGGCCACAGCTGGCTTATGTTAGGTGTCTAGGGTTGTACAAGCCGTCTTGGTAACGGCAGGATGTGGGCATCACTCACAGTCACGGGCAGGTACCGGCTGCTTTCAGGAGAGAACCACTCTGCAGTTTACCGCGCAGCCCCCGAGCACCAGTGCCGGGTCACACTTGCTGTACTCCGAGGTCATGGTTCTCCAGGAGCGCGCGTTTCTGTGCCATCCTGTGTCCACGTTTTTCCCTGCTCAACAGTGAGCTAAACGCCTTGTGAGAGTGTGTGTTGGCAAAAGATGTGCTTTCTCCCTTCCCTCTTGGGATGAGTTATTTCAAGATCAGGTCATTTCTGTATTTGGAGCATTTAAACATCCTTCTTTTAATGATGTGAAAGAACAAGATATGTAAGACCATATAATATTCATTATCTTGAATATTATAAGATGTTGGTTCTTACATTACATTAGCGTTCAACTATTGTTCAGGAAAGCATCTTTGAAACCCAAAGCCCCAGGAAACTGAATGATGTTTTCATTTGGGTAATCAGCTTGAAAATGAAACCTTTAGAATTTTTAATGATTACATTTCTTTAAGATTTTAAATTACACTTATTTATTCTTGTGCATGAACAGAAGCATGTGTGTGTGTGTGTGTGTGTGTGTGTGTGTGTGTGTTACACTGAGTGTGTGGAGGTCAGAGGACAAGTTATGGGAATTAGTTCCCTCCTTCCACCATGTGGATTCCGGGCATTTCACTCACGTGGCCAGCCCTGGTGGCAAGCTCCTGTACCTGCTGAGCTGTCTTGCTGGCCCAGTGAAGGAATTTCTGGTTAGCTGCTCCACGATGTGAGGGGGGATATTCTTTGAGTGTGTTTAAGTGTTTCGTGTGTTTCAGATTCTTTCCTTCCTTGAGGACCTCCACCACCTGATGATTACTCTTCCATTTGCCACCTTGTCGTTTGCACAGATGATTGAAACAGATGATGACTTCAGCCCCTTCCCTGGAGGGTACGACTACCTGGTGGACTTTCTAGATTTATCCTTTCCAAAAGAAAGGCCCAGCAGGGATCATCCCTATGAAGAAGTAAGTGCTCCCCTGGTGGAGCTTCTTCCTCTTTGTCTCCCTCCCTCACACCTCCCCTTCTCCTCCTTCCTTCTCATCCTGTCTATCACTTGTTTCTTCCCTTCTCCCTTCCCACCACCACTTCCTTGTGTTGACTAAGAATCACAGCTCAAAACAAGTAAGGCGTGATTTATCCTTGAGTCAAACATGAGCAACCATGGCTTGGGAATAGAGTGCAGATTGCTCCAAATTCTGCACTCTACAATGTGGAAATGATTTATGAAGTTTTTTATTTCAGAATAAAGTCTTAACTCAAGGAACTTCCCAAAGGGAACGTGAGGGAGGCAGTCCACAGCAAATCAGGGAATTTCTGCTGTAGACGTCACGGGCTATCTGATGGCCTTCTTAGGTGTTGGATTGATGGAAACTCTCCGCCTGCTAAGTTAATGCATCCCAAAGGTTTTGTCTGAGAGGCAAGAGAATGTTGGCTCAGACACAGAAGTGGGCAATGGGTGGCTACGAAAGAGGCTGAAGATGGCCTGGGGGTAATTTTGAATGCTTTACATCTCTCCATAATTCTAGTCAACCAACCAGCTTTTTAGAGTCCACACACTGGGGTGACTTTTTCTCCTGGGTATGTCATGGTCTCTTCAGTGTCCAGCAGAACCTCAGACAGATAATCTGTGAGGAGACCTTTGCTACAGCCATGACATTTTCAGTGTTCCCCCAAGCCAGTTATCTAAAATAAAGACAATTATATAAAATGACCCATTAAAAGTTCTATTAATCCAGGGTTTATATTTTATATTAAATTAATTATATATTATATTAAACATATAGTAAAATATATTCAACATATATAAAATATATTTAATATAATTATAATACATAAACAATACATTTTCTATAATGTATATAATTAATATACTAAATACATAATTATATAATTTTATTAATATATAAGATATATAATAGAGTTATAATAAAGATCCCCACAAACTGTGCTTAAGTTTCAGTGAAAGCATATTCCTTTCTAGGAATCTTGATCTTTACCCTCAGCAAAGTCCCACTCTGCTAGCTACTTAACCTTAGGCAGCAGACATAACATCACATCGCATAAAATCACGTGACACGACAATGGACTCAAAATGGATCTAAATGGTTTATATACCTCAAATATGGAGCTAAGGAATAAGCCAAAATCTGAAGATAAATGTCAAAGAAGGCTACACAAAAAGGCAAACAGAGTGAGTGTTGTCAAAGAGTTGTGAACCTTCCTGGATCACAACAATACAACCAATGCAAATGACTCTACAGAGCTTTCAAAATAACAGTGTTTTGAAATGTACCTTTTTTACAAATTAGTGACAAAAACATAAAACAATCCAAGGACCAAACCCCGAGAGTGCCCCTGGAACTCCATATACCATAAAACCCAACAAATAGTATGTTTTTCACCATCAAGGCCAGAAGCTGGAACTCCCTTTCCTTTATCAGCTCATCAATAGTGTTCACAGGCAAACTGACACCCAAGGGTCAGAGAATGAACCCTGTCTCTCTAGCAAAGACAGCTCCCTGCTAGAATTCCTCCTCCCTCTAGCCTGGGCATCAGTGACCAGCAGGTTTGCTTCCTGCCTGGCTCTTCCAAAGTTGCTGTCCATTGACTAACACAGAAAATGAGGTTTGTTTCTAAACTAGGCCAAACTAGACCTTGTTCTTCTTTTTTCAGCATCACAGTTTTCTGCAGAGCATGAGACCAAGCAGGAGCGTGCACACATCCGTCTAAGCTGTCTCTTTTTGTGCAAGGCAAATTCCTCCTGGATACCAGAGCCTCAGCCTTTCCCTTTCCCCAGGATGGGACATACGAGGAAGTTCTACAACAGTGGAGTTACATGTCAGTCTCTATGGGAGCTCAGTGAGTCTCTGGAAAGGGAGCCAAGTCAAAGCAGACACACTTTATTGGGCTCTAATTTCCAGCCAATCCCTTGGCATGGCGAGGGCCAGGTGGTGTGCTGTGGATTCCTAAAGGGCTTTAACCTCTCCATCTAAGGCAGCCCTGCCCTTCGGCTGGCCATGAACACTGAGGCTCTGGCGAGCCTTAGAGCAGAGGCACACCTGCTGCATTTGGGGTGATGGCAACAGTGTCATTTACTGAGAACTGAGCACTTAGCATAGAACCTGGCTTTAAGTGTTTGCTGTTCATAGACTCATTTGTTTCTCACCACAATCCAACTAGAAATGTCACCTTTTTATCTTCATTGGATAGATGAGGAAACTGAGGCGATAGTTACTAAACCACGAAACTTAGCCTTGAATTTGAGCTGTTGATCCCCCTGCTTCTTGTCTGTGCTCTCCTACTCTCTATCCCTGTGCTCTCGGCTCCCTCCTCTTATCCTCACCCAGGAGACTCCTCTGCTTCTCTTCACTCTGCCATCATAGACATGGGGGAATGAACGCCTACATGGCCAGGCTCACCCTGAGAGCAGCCATGTTTCCATTTCAGATCCGCAGCCGTGTTGATGTCATCAGGTACGTGGTGAAGAATGGCCTGCTGTGGGATGACCTGTACATTGGATTCCAGACCCGACTGCAGCGGGATCCTGACATATACCATCACCTGTAAGCCTGCAAGTGCTTGATGCATGGGGCCATGGGGGTTGGGGGAAGGGGCATCAGAGGAGAGCCCAAAGTGGGGTAAAGTGAGGAGTCAGTGGCTGGCTGTGTTCCCCAAGTTAGCACAGATAGAAGAGGCTCCATCCTTGTTTTCTGTGTTTTCAAGACAGTATGTCATTCTATAGCTCTGGGCTAAACTCATGACAATCTCTACTTTACCCTCCCCAAGCTGGGATCACAGTAATATACATACCATCATGCCTGGCTCTGCTTATTTATTTATTTATTTATTTATTTATTTATTTATTTATTTACTCATTCACTTTACATCTCACCCATAGCTCTCCCCTCCTCCTAGTCCTACCTTTCCTCCTTCTTTCCACTATCCCCCTCCCCTACTCCTCAGAAAAAAATGAATCACCCCACCAATCCACCCCAGCACATCAAGACTGAGAATGTCCTCTTCCCCTGTGGTCTGGTGAGGCAGCCCGGCCAGGGGAGAGTGATGGAAAAGCAGGCAACATAGTCCTTGTCAGAGACAGCCCCAACTGCACTTACTAGGGGACCTACATGAAGACTAAGCTGCCCGTTGGCTAGGTCTAGTACAGACATGGTTTTTAGTTTGGTGATTCGGTGTCTGCAAGCCACCCTGGGCTCTGGTTAGTTGGCTCTGTTGGTCTTCTTGTGGAGCTCCTGTCCCCTGTCTCTACTTCTTAACAAGAGACTTGAGCTCAGTGTTTTGTGAACTGGGTGGTTTACAGGAATGGCCCACTGTATTTGTGCTTGCTTATATTTATAAACTGCATATATTGTTAAAATCATATTTAAAATCTCAGAAAGAACAATTTTCTGTCTTTACATGTACAAGATCAGTAAAGATGAAGTAGTCTTATCACTACCACTGATTCTCTTAAAGAGGTATAGACATTTAAATTTTAAAATTCCTATTACTTAAAATTTCTGGGCTGTAGGGGTGGTTCAGTGGTAAGGGGTTCTGTTGTTAAGCTGCTGACGTGAGTTCAATCTCGGGGGTACACATAAGGTGGAAGCAAAGAGATGATGACTAAAATGTGTTCTCTGACTTCCACATGCACACCATGAACACTGCATGCACACACACACACACACACACACTTAACCAATCAGAATAAAATTTTAAAAAATTAGAATGTCCAAGTAAGGCCTTCTAGCTAGTGGATTGCAATTATAGTCATTATTTTTTAAACTTATTTCCTTTATAATTTTGGTGGGGCGTGTTTTGTCTGTTGGTTTGTTTGTGCGCCTGGTTGAGTCAGGCTCTCACTCTGCAGCCCAGATCAGCCTGGAACTCACTTACATAGCCCAAGCTGTCCCCGAACTTACCATGATCCTCCTGGCTCAGCTTCCAGAATGCTGAGATTTCAGGTATGAGCCACCCCATTCAGCACCCTCCCCACTTGATGTCTTAAAACTGTATTGTAAAGTGTTAAACGTTCGAGGAGTGTGTGTCTGTTAGAGCCGTTGTGGTTTCGTTGGCCCCTCCTAGGAAACCACTTCCTGCCTTTCCCTCTGCTCTTTCTCAGGGTGACTCTTGAGCATACCCCGCATGTCTGTAGCTACATATGTCTTCAATAGTATGTCATGTGTTGTTGGGGGGGCACTAAGACAGTATTTCAGTGCCACACCCGTATAGACATTCTGCAACATCCCCTAGAAGATGTCACCTACAACCCGCCTTCTCTCTCTTGCAGTTGGGACATCCGGGTTTTGCTCATTTTCAGCACATGCAGCCAGTGCTGTAGAGTTAAAAACACAGGGCACCCTGCCCTTCCTCCTCCCTTCCTTCCCACCCTAAAAACCTCTGTCTCAATATGGCAATCGACGGCAAAAGAGTCAGAATGGCTCCTCTGGGGGCACATGCACGCATGTGGAGGTCACAGAACACTCAGTCAGTGTTCTGCTGCATAAAGGAAAACAGAGAAACGGGATCAAATCCACCTGCAGGTTACTGCCAGGAGTTTCAGCTCTAAGTAGAGGAGGAATTGCGGTTAGGGTGGAAGTGTGCAGAGTCAGATAATCCAGGCCAAGCTGTGGTCTGGCTGCGTCATTACCACAGTTCTAGTTCTGGATGGTGGTTGGAAGAAATCCTTATCACTGCAAGGAATGAGCTGGTTCCTTCAAGAGGGTCATTTCTGTTCCTGGTATAGCCTCATCTCCTAAATGGACAGTTGCCACACATAACCCCCCACCCCTTGGTGAAGTACAGAGGCGTATTCTGGGGTTTTTTGCTTTTTCTGGCATCCAAGGTGACCACAGTCTAGAACAGTGAATTATCTTTGTATCTCAGTCTTGAAGCAGGATGAGCTAGGTTAGGGCAGACAAACACCCTTGAGTCATTAGCATGCCAGTGCAGAGCCAAGCGGGAGACAGACACAGAGTGAAGGCAGATGTGCCAATCTCACACCCTGCTGTAGTCACCTCGTGGGCCCAAGTGTGTGATCACTGCTCTTGAGTGAAATCAGCTGCCAAGCACCGGCTGTGCCTATACCCAAACTCTTACTCTAGGGAGAGAAAGAGAGAGTGTGGCAACTTCTGGGAGACATCATCTCTGTGTACAAAGAATTCACCTTGGAATCATCTCAGAGATGGAGCTATCTTGTCACATTGAGGCTGGTTTTGTCGTGGTTCTGTTTTGCTTTGGAGGGATTGAGACAGGATCTCCCATAGCCCAAGCTGGCTTCACGTTCGCTATGTAGCTGAGCATGACCTTGAATTGGTGACATTGCCGCCTCTACCTCTCAAGTGGTAGGATTACGACCCTTTGTCACATCTGGCTTATATTGTGTTTTGAGAACAAAGATCATGAGTACAAGAAGATGCCCTGATGAATCTTGAAAAACAGTCACAGCTCTATTTAACTCTTAAAACAGGATCCGTTATTATTGTTGTTGTTGTTGTTTCTGAGATAGAGTAACATCCCTGGATGTTGTGGGACTTGCTTTATAGACCAGGCCAGCCTCAAATTCGCAGAGATATGCCTGCCTCTGCCTGAAAAAAATATTTTAAAATACAAAAAAATTAAGACCAGAACTACTCCTCACTCAGATGGAACAATTTGCATTTGGCATCTAGTTAACCTATCTTTTCCTATTTCCAAGCACACTGTGAGTTTTTTCCAATGAGGATGGTACGGTTCCTCATTCTTGCACCTGCATGGCCACCAGCTGTTTTCTATATCACTGTATGTTTTCTCTCGTGTCCATCTAGCGACCGCCTACCTGATACCAAATGCCAGTATTCAGGCCTCATTTTACAGTCTTTGGCCATTGAACCTGTTCTAACGTTTCACCATTTGAAACGGCGGTTGGATAAGTCATGTCTGCATCTCTTGGCACGTTCTCCGTGCTCTCCTCATGGGTATGCCGGTTCTGAGTCTCGTTCAGCAGTTGGCTAGACCGTTCTTCAGGAAGCATCGGGGATGTGGCCACCTTCACTAATGCTCCAACCTGACACAAGCTTTTGTGTATCTTGCAGAAATGTAACTTGCACTATTGGGAATCCCTTAAAGTGGGCTTACCGCAAAATGACAGGTGGCCATCATGTTTTAAGGGACTCTGAAAACTCTCAGGTGAACCAGCAACTGAAACAGCAGGGCAGCACTGTCTTCTGGGGAGAACTGAGACCAGGCACCCAAGAAACCCTGGCCAAGCAAGGAAGAATTCACACTCAAAGTTCATGTCTCTCTGCTTTTGTTTCTCGCAGGTTTTGGAATCATTTTCAGATAAAACTCCCTCTAACACCACCCAACTGGAGGTCATTCCTGATGCACTGTGGTTAGACCAGACCTGGCATGTCCCAGGTAAGTCCCATGTGGGGCTGGTAGACACCTAGCCATGTATCCTGTGGTATTCACTTTGTCACCTAAATGACAGGGAACCTGACTTCCAGGAGGATCATAAAAGAGAACTGCATGAAAACATTTAGGTATAAAAATAAGTCTATGAGACAGCTATTGAGAGCACCCACTCAGGGTCCACAGACCCTTTGAAAGGTCGGAGGTGAGCACAGACTACCAAGGAAAACAGACACTGCTCTGGAGAAAGATCCTGAGCATAAAAGGACAGAGAGTGCAATAAAACTGGGAAGGAGAAGTGCTAAAAGCAATGGCCAAGGGGTAGCTTCTGTGGCACGAGCCAGATTTGGCCTTCCACAACCAGGCACAGAGCCTCCTTAGCTGTGTTACAAAGCTTGTTCCTACCTGCCTGGAATCAAAAGAAGTACATGCTACAGAAATGGTAGCTTTCTTGACCTATGCATTTATATTCATTTATTTTTACCAAAACCTACGCTTTCATGTTTTACTGTATATATTGATACCTGCCCCTCTCAGGACATTTTCTGTTTCTTAAAAGTACACAGTGTAGGGGCTGGAGGGACGGCTCAGCTGGTAAAGTGTTTATCACCCAGGTATGAGAACCCAAGTTAATCCTTATCCAAGCATCCACATAAAAAGACAGGCTTGGTGGAGCATGTTTGTAATTCTAGCGCTGGAGAGATGAAGACAAGCAGATCTCTGGGGCTTGCTGGCCAGCCAGCCTAACCCAATCAGTGAGTTCCAGCCAATGAGATCAAAACAAGGTGGACCTCTCTTAAGGAAGACACCTGAAGTTGACCTCTGGAACAAGCAGAGAACAACAAGAACATACATGTGTTCACGCCCATACATGTAAAAGAAGAAAGCACTGCATAACGGCCCTAGTTATAGCGCCACATCCCATCTCATGGTTCCTCACTCAAAGAAGGAAAGAACACGTTTCTTTTTTGTCTCAAACAGTCAGTAAAACTTGCCTCTTTAAATTAGGCCTCAGTGTCTTCACCAGCCAGAGTAAGAATCAAATCAGAACATCTTTTACATCCCATTCGGGGACTGAGTTTGGTGTTTCATGCTGTAGCTCCACACAGGGCAGTGGGCTGGGTCTTAGTTGTGAGTCTAAGCAGGAGATGCACAGAAAATTCAAACACTGCACCATGAATGCTGGGAGTGCCAAGCAGAGAAAGACTGTTTTGAGATGAGCAGGAGGGGCACAGGGCCAAGGGCAGGGAGAACAGGGTTGCAGATGCAGGAAGATCAGTAAGAAGTCAGAGTGTGTCAAAGAACCCGGGGCTGGTGTAGCTCAATTGTGGAGCATTTGCCTAGCACATGTGAGGCTCTGGGTGTGATTTTCACACTGTGGGGGAGTTAAATATTAAGCAGAGCTTTTGAAGAGATTCTGGAAGAGGGGCAGGATGGCAGGAAGAATATCCTAGTCAGAAAGGATGGGTGAAGCTAAGTGGTGGAAAAACGGCAAAGTGAGTGTGAGCAATGGTGTGACCTCCCAGTGTGGTGGAAGGGACCCCGGGGAGAGTCAGGGGGGCTCACGGGAGGCAATATGCAGGCCCCACAGGTGTGAAAGTAGGAGGTTTGAAAGGCCTGTAGACAGCACCAGGGTCTTAGAGATGGAGCGGTTCTGAAAAGTTCGAGGTGTGTCCATGTAAGTGGGTGGATGGGTAGAGCAGAGGCCCAGGAGGTGGGGACCAAGCCTTTGAGTCCACTGAAAGTTGCTTATTAGGGATCCTAGTTTGCTTTTCATGGCTGTGATAAACATGACCAAAACCAACTTTCGAGGCAAGCATTTGTATCATCTCACAGCTTACTGTCCTTCACGAAGGAAGCTGGGGCAAAAAGCTGGGGCAGGAACTGAAGCAAAGGACATGGAGGAACACTCTTACTGGCCTACTCTCCAAGGCTTGCTCAGCCTGCTTTCTTAGGTACCTCCAGGTCTACTTCCTAGAAATGGCACCTCCCAAAGTGGGCCGAGACCTTCCACAGCAATCGTCAATCAAGAAAATGCCCTACAGACACGTCCACAGGACAATTTGATGAAGGCAATTGCTCAGTTGAGATGCCTACTTCCCAGATACGTCTAGGTTTGTGTCGAGTTGACAAAACTCAACCAGTAGGTCAGGGAAGCAGTAAAGTACCATAGTCCAGTGTCTCATCCTTCCTCACAGGCTGGCTTAAGCCTGGCTCTGCCATGTGCTCTATGACTGCAGGCAAGTTGCTGGTTCTCCCCGTGCCCCAGGTTTCATCTGCAAAGTGAACACAATAATAGCGTGCACCACATAGGCGTGCCACAGTTTAAGGCACACCACATATCTGGAAGCATGACAGGCACAAGAAGTTGAAAACAGCTTTGATGCAGTCCATATTCCAGGCTGAGGCTGCTCCTTATTTTAAAGCAACAGTAGAGTCCGAACTGAAGCCTAAGACTGCACCACAGTGCAAGGAGGAAATGGAACGATATTAAAAATGGGACACATACTGCTCAGTAGTTCCTTCTCCCATAGCTGTGTGAAAGTAGCTGACAGAAAGAGCTGCGGGAAAGAAGGGGTTATCTTGGCTCACACCTTGAGGGTAAGCAGACAGTCGTGTTGGGAAAGGCATGACAGCAGGAGCAGTGGCTGCTAGCTGGTCACATAGTGTTCCCAGTCAGGAAGCAGGACGAGGTGAAGAAGGTCTGTGTCTTGATCACTTTCTCCTTTTATTCAATGCAGGACCCCAGCCCCTAGGATGGTACCAGCACATGCAAGACGGGTCCTCCCCGCTTGCTCCTACCTTTCTGGAAACACTCTCATCCTCATCGACACCCCCCTAACGATTGTTATTCATCAGTAGTATTGTTTATTCAGAGGTGGCAGCAAACCAATGACCAACGTTCAAGAATTTGCTCTTACATCTTGAACGCAGCCGTTTCTACCAAAGGAGACATGTTTATATTAGCAATGGACAGACACTACATTTGAGAGATGCTCACATATGTGCCTTTTGTGTGTCATTGCCTAGACAGACTCAAAACTACTTTACTGGGGCTGCCAATGCGGCTTGGTAGTACAGCATGGGCTCAGAGGGCATGACACCCTGGCTTCCATGCCCAGTATGCCCCCGATTCACCCCATTCACACTCCCGTGCAAGAGGAACCAAAGAAAACCAAGAAGAAGGAGCTCTGTGTGGAAAATAAAGCCAAACAAAAGGAAATGTGGGGGAATGGGAAGGGGAAAAGCTACATAGGAGATTCCAACAGCAAGAAGGAAGGAAGCAAAAGAAGAGATGGTAGGCTCAGAGGAAAAGGGAGGAAAGAATGGGAGACTGGAAGAAAATGGGAAGGAGAAAAGGCTTCTGTAATTTGAAAAGAAGACTGTAAAAATAGCTCTTGTGTTCTTTGATAAATTCATCCCCTAGACAGCAGCATCAAGACTGCTTTCAGTTTTTCAGAGAGTGTTGTTGGTATCATCACAGGCCTGGGATCTGTCCTAAGAGGTCCCATCTCTCTAGAAGTGAAATGACTTTGATTCCGCTATGAAGTCTGCCAATTAATGAAGCTTAGGAGTTGTAATGGTTAACAGATCTTTGATTAAGGGATGATATGAACACTAGTTAATAATTATATGCAGAAAGTACTTTAAAAATAGAAAATAAAATAGAAATAAATAGAATAATAATAGAAAATAATAATCTTTAATAATAGAAAATAAAAATCTGTGTCTTCAAAAATAACAGCAAAAAACAACATGAAAAAGAACCCATTTTAAAATGGGACTTCAAAAATATTGTTTCAATGTTTGAAATAGGCAGCTAACTTGCCTGTGGTGCTTTTTCTGTCTATTTTTGACATTGTTTCAGATGTACTAATTTGTTTGTAAGAAACTGTAATTGTTACCCAAGGTTCTACTTTGCATGTTGTTTTCCAACACTCCTTTACCCACTGACAGGACAATCAAATGCATTTTCACCTACCTCTTGAATGTGACCTCAAAATTGTTTCCAAACTCTAATCGAGGGAAGACTGGCTCTCTCCCTCTCACTAAATTCAACAACACGAATGATAGATTACTCTCGTTTATATCACACTAGGAAAATCAGAAATGCTTGAGTGTCAGAAATTAAAGTGTGATTTATACTATATAGTAAATTATTCAGTTACTACTAAGATAATGAAATGTTTATCAAAACAGATGTTCAAATGTATATGATGGGCAAATAAAAGATTATTTTAAAATAGAGATTTGTTTTCTTGCTCTTGTAGCCCAGGGCAATCTCACACTATGGTGATCCTCCTGCTTCAGTCTTCCAAGTGCAGAGGTTGCAAGCATCACCACACTAGACTAATATCTGTAACTTGAAATAGAAAGACTCGCCTTTCTACTGAACTCTTAGAAATGATGATTTAAAGGTCACTTAGGATATCTTTTTAGTTCTCTTCACGGTGTCATGACTCAACAGTCCCCTAGGCCCTCTGGTGTGAGATTTCCTTCTCTCTGGGGACAAACAATGGTGATCCCTCCTTATAACTCCCCAATAACAAACCAAAATAGCATTCCATTAATGTTCACCTAGGAAGCCAGTGTGTTTCTGGGACTACGTAGAGAACAAGGTCATAGGAGACCCCAACGCAGCATGGGTGATGACTTCCTCATAGCTGAATGTGGCTCTCCCTTTCCTCCCCTTCTCCCAGCCTTCCCCTGCCTCCCTATAGCTAGTACCTTCCAAAACCCGAAAGCAGGGTGCAATTAGGACAGAATTACATACAAATATCTGGGAGAAGTGGCTGGAATATAGGGGAGGGCCCAGGGCCCTTCCCCACCCACTCCTTCTCTGAGGGGACACCCTGTTTTGCTTGGAGGACAGTGTCCTCCAACACCCTCCAGTTCACTGACCCAACATCCCTTACTCCTGTTTCCTCACTTTCTGGTTGCTCTTCTCCTTGTCCGTTCCGAGAAGCACCTGCTCTCTCTCCTTGCCTGCTCTCTCATAGCTCACATCCACCGCTTACAGAGGATGCCCTACAATTGCCTTCGTATGCTGTTCTCACACCTACTCCGTTGGCAGATCTGATCATCTGCACCTTTAATCATGTCTGAATCTGAGCACTCCCCTGAGGTAAAAATGGAGATTGGGAGAGAAAGGAAATCCAGCCTAGGACCTCTCATTCTAAAGAAGGCCAGGAAGCCAAATGCAGAAAACTCCTGGAAACCGCTCCACTGGGACAGCCATCCAGGAAGTACATGTGCTCAGCTTATCTGGCCCTGTGAGACCCTGGTTCTGAAGAAACCATGGCTTAGGGATGAAAGGAGAAGTTCCTTTGTGGTCCAGCGCCTCAGTGGTTTACTCTGTTGTCTAGTGCCCTGCTTACCTTAGCCTTTATACCAGCTGGCAAAGAAGACTGATTTTATTTTGTACAACAGCCAGTACAGAGTGGGCTGCAGCTGAGAAGCAATTGGTTGATAACAGACACAGACTTGGTAAGTTACCTCTGTGTCACTGTCAACAGAATACCCAAGAACAACCTAACAGGAGGAATTATTTATTTTGGCTCATGGTTTCAGATGGTTTGGTCCACAGTCATATGGCTCCCTGGACTGGGCAAGGCATTGTGGCGATGGGAGCATATCCTGGAGAAGCTTCCTGCCTTGTGCAGCCAGAAATCTGAAGGGGGATATGACAGGAAGAGAGAGCCCAGGGCAAGATTCAACTTCCAAGGACAAAATCTTATCCACCTACTTCCTCCAAGCAAGAAGGGAGTTCCACCGCCTCTCAAAAGCCCATTTAAACTTTAAAGTCAAGTTGAATGTGGAAGACTGAGGCAGGAGGATTGTCACGAGTTTCAGCGCAGGCTCAGTCATAGAATGATTTCCATGGCAGCAGATGCTCCATGGAACCCACCAATGAGTTAATAAACCACTTATGAGGTCAGAAGCTTCATAGTCCAATTATGCATACTGATCTAGGCATCCATAATCTAACTAAGTTGACCATCAGAATTAACCCTCACATTTCGGTAGAATGCATGTTGCGTCCCCAGGTGACAACTAAGAGAATAGCAACAGAGCCACAAAGAGAGTGGAGGCGGCGGCACCACGAGCCGAAAACAGCATGAAAGAAGCCGACAAAAGGAAAAACTGCCTGTGAGGAGAAATGTATTTTGGGAAACAAAGGTTTTGGGCTCTTGAGGTTTGAATGTCTCTACCAAAAGTCACATTTCTATTTCATCCTTCCCGGGAAGTGATGGGAGGTGGACCGTTGACTATATTTGGGTAAATGGGTTAAGGGATAAGTGGGTTGTCACAGCAGTGGCTTTGCTGGCACCTTACTCTTCGTCCCTGGTGATGCTCCGCCATGCCACAGCCTGTCACGAGGCCTTCACCAGGCACCAAACACACACTGGCACTGTGATCTCTCTGAGGACCAGGAGTTAGATTTTCTTTATACTTGGTACTCAGAACACAAGGTACATCCAAACAGGAAAAATAATTAATGCGTTCTGGCCCGTGAGCTGAATAAATAGGAAAGGTTGTAGGCTGTCTCAGTAAAAGCAAAGAGGTATTTGTTAAGTATTTTTCATATCCGTTAATGAAACTCAATGAAAACTCCCCCTATTAGCAATGAGATATAGAAAGGATTGTTCCAAAAAAAAAAAAAAAAAAAAACAAAGAGAGAGAGAGATTGAGAAAGAACAAAGCAATTCCTGATCCTTTTGCCTCTTCCCCGGCTGGGCTGGATTTGCTGGATTATAGGTACCTTCTTCAGAAAGATGCAGAGCCAGGGAGAAAGCACAGTCTTTAATAAGCTGCGCTGGTGACCTGGTTGGTAAGGGCACTGGGTGGGAATGGGACTCACTCCCAACCTGGAGAGCAGCGGATGTTTCCTCTAATGTGAATGGAACCTGTCGTTTCTAGGAAAACAAAACGACAGCGTTTGGGGGAGGGGGGGGCATGGTGATTTTTCCAGAAGTACAATTCCGAGCTTCCTTCGAAGAGCTTGTGGTTAGCTCTGGTGGCTGTGCGGTATGCGGCACCATCGTATGTCCTGGCTTCCTGGTCGAGACACTGTGGACGGCGGAACGTAGCACAGAGACACCGGAAATGGCTCATTCCATTGACACAGCTGTCAGCTCCCATACAAAAGTCCACTGTGTTCATGGATTCAGAGCATGGTCTGAAATAAGAAGTATGCCCTCTCGTTGCTCTCCTTTACCCAAACTTCCAAGACAATCCTTTACTTACCATTCATTCATTCATTCATTCATTCATTCATTTATCTGTTTATATAGCCCAGGCTGGCCCTGAACTCCAGATCCTTCTGCCCCGTCCTCTCAGGTGCAGGGATTCAGGTACACACACACACATACCATATTAAAATTTAAAAAGGAACTTGTAACAGAGAAAGTATTATTAGCAACTGTTTCCTGTTCACGTCAACCCGAAGTGTGCTAAAGGGAAGCGACGAGGCGGGGACTTCTGGAGAGAAGGTACTGAGGAGTACACCACTGACGTGGTGTGGGGCGTTCTAGTCTAGGCTGCCTAGAGAACAGAAACAACACACACACACACACACACACACACACACACACACACACACACACTGACCAAAACAAATGACCTAGGGGTGAGAGCGGGGGATAAGGGCGGCGCATAGGGGGAACCCTGGAGCTCATTGATGAGCTCCGGGTTCAGTGAGGTACGCTGTCTCCAAAAATACGGTGGAGAGGGATTGAGGAAGACACGGACATTGGCTTCTGACTTCTCAGCGTGCAGTCACACGTGCAGCGCACGCACACAGGAGTTGTGGAAGGCCTGTAAGTGACTGAGAGTATGGCACCGATGACCTGGTTTCCCCAGGGCTCACACCTTTCCTGGCCTCTGCTTCGACCAGCGGGTCCATAGCCACGGTCTAGAGCACTGGTTCTCAACCTGTGGGTCACGACCCCTTCCAAGGCAGAACAGCCCTTTCTCAGGAGTCTCTTAAGAGCGTCAGAAAACACAGAGATTTCCAGCACACTTCACAACAGTAGCAACATTACAGTCATGTAGTAGCAATGGAAATAATTTTATGGTTGGGGGGTCACCACAACATGAGGAACTGTATCAAAGGGTCGCAGCGTGAGGAAAGTTCAGAACCACTGCTCTAGAAGAGAATGAAGCGCGTCCCAAGAAGTCACAGGCTTTTCTTTTTTCTCTCTCCTTCTTCATCTTCTTGTTCTCCTTCTCCTTCTTCTTCTTTTCTTCTTCTTGCTGTTCTTGTTCTTTTTCTTCTTGTTCTTATTCTTTTCTTCTTCTAACTGCTGTTTTGACATGTTAGAGAAAATTAAACCAATCTTTTCATTTCCTTTGCAGACAAATTAGTAGGCTAGTACTCATCACCTTTGAAATGTTATACTTTAAAAACGGCCATGGTTTCAGCCGGTAATTATCTCAATTGAAAATTATTCCTGCTGTACAAATTAACACTGTATTATGCAATGTAAATTATAACAAATATACCAGATAAAAATAAAATAATAAATATTGCCACCCACTAAGAACATAGTTCTTTATTTACTGATCCAGAAAGGCATAATGCTTATTTTTGGAAAATTATGTTAAGAAATTTAACTTTTAGGCTGGCTGTGGTGGTGCACACCTTTAATCCCAACACACTCTGGAGGCAGAAGGAGACAAGTCTCTGTGAGCTCCAAACCAGGTAGGGCTACATGGTCTAAGCTTTATGTATGTATGTGCACATGCTTTTCTGTGTGTGTGCGCACGTGCGTGTGTATAATACATTCAGATTCTTTCCGTTGGCTGGAATCTGAGGCTGGGTTTCTGAACTGTGGCTTTTGATGATAACTGCCCAGTCTTTTAAGGCATGCATAGGTCTGTGTGTGCGTTGACAGTCCTGGGTCCTATATTTGCATGATTTGCATATGCATATACTGATATGCATATGCTGGTTTCCCATGGAGTCCCACCACATCGATTCTGCAAAGACTCCTTCCTCTGCTGTTTGCAAATATCACTCACAGACTAAGCTCGGATTTCATTCTGGCTGTGATAAAATATCCCGGCAAAAGCAGCTTTAAGAAAAGGAGCTTTATTTGTCTTACCATCAAGAGTCAGAGTCCACCGTGCTGGAAAAATGAAGCCAGGAACTTGAAAGCGGCTTGTCTCGTCCACAGCAAAAGCAGAGAGAGAGTGAATGGATGCCTGCTTTTGCTCACCCTCTCTATCTTTATACCCTAAGCCCC